CGCGATTCATGGTATATGCTACGACCCGTGGGGCCGTAGGTGGGGTGGTGTCGTTTGTCTGCCGGTCCAATGGGGGGTGACCTGAATCAGGAGGGAAAACACACACAGACACAAAGTCCCAGGAGAATATGAGAAAATATGGGAAGTGGGGGGGAAGACAACTGAGAAAATATAGGAAAATATGGGGAGTCGTTTTATTCCCTACCTAGGCTCTGCCTAGAAGGGTTCTTACCCTGTGGGCTTAAAGGGACGGGCAGTGCTCCCCGCCCCGGGCGGTTCCCCCGGCATCCGCCCCGCGGTTCCCCCAGTTACGTCCCCTTAGCTTAGCGTTGCTTATCTCATCTTAGCTTAGCTTATTTCATCTAGCTTAGCTTCATCTTAGCTCAGGTTTATCTTAGCTTGAATTACCTTCATCTTAGCTTCGCTGAGCTTTAGCATAGCAGAGCACAGCATAGCATAGCATCGCGTAGCATAGCATAGCGCAGGCCAGCATAGCATAGCATAGCCCAGCATAGCATAGCATAGCATAGCGCAGCATAGCATAGCATAGCATATCATAGCATAGCGCAGCACAGCACAGCACAGCACAGCATAGCACAGCATAGCGCAGCACAGCAGCGCAGCGCAGCACAGCACAACCTAGGCTCTGCCTAGAGGGTTAGCTTAGATTAGCTTAGCTGAACTTAGCTCAGCTTAGCTTAGCATAGCGCAGGGCTGCATTAGCATAGCATAGCATAGCATACCATAACCAATCATATCATAGCATAGCATATCATAGCGCATCGTAGCATAGCATAGCACAGCATATCATCGCATAGCATAGCGCAGTTTAGCATAACATGCCATACCATATCATAGCTTAGCATAGCACAGCGCAGCATTACATACCATATCTTAGCTTATCATAGCATCTCATGGCGCAGCATAGCATGGCATCGCATAGCATAGCATAGCATAGCGCAGCATAGCATGGCATAACATAGCATAGCATAGCAACTAATGCTGCTTTCCTAGGGGCTCCAACTTCTAGGTAGGGTCGCACTGGGGTACTTTGTCTGTACTTATTCGTGTGGCCCAGGGCCCCTTCACTAAAGTGGGGGTTGAAGAAAAGGGCCCCCAAAGGGGCGCTTTGAGGCCCCCTTTGGGCCCCTGCTGGCTCCGACGGGGGCCCTGAAATGTCCGTGTGGGGCCCTTCTCTTCACCCCCCCGTGCAGGTCTGTGGCGGACGATCCATGGAGAGGAAGCATGCTGCCAAGTACTTCCCGGATGTCTACATCATGTGTTAAGCATGCTGTAAACATGTAGAAACACGTTTAGAACATGTTTAGGACATCTCTCTGGCATTTTAAACACATTTTGAATTCAATGATAGGACTGTTAGGGTGTCCATTGTCGTGGCATCCACACATGTAGGTCACCCCCCGTTGCCACCCGCCCGAGAGGACCGGGACGAGGTTCAGTCGTCCCGCAGCCCTCTGGAACGCCTGCAGAGCGTTCGGGAGCGCTCTGGGACGGCCGCGGCGCCCGATGTGCCCTCCAGACCCGCCGTCTCTCGGATATGATTCCCGACTTCCTCCTCCTCCCGCTCCTCCTCCTCCTCCTCCTCCCGCTCATCCTCCTCCTCCTCCTTCTCCTCCTCCTCCTCTTCCTCCTTCTCCTCCTCCTCCTCATCCTCCTCCTCCTCCTCCTCCCGCTCGTCCTCCTCCTCCTCCTCCTCCTCCTCCTCCTCCTTCTCTTCTTGATCTCACCCGAATTTATCTCCATCTTGCCATCGTCTTGGAGCGTGTTTCTTTCTTGCTCGGGGCATGACGTACGTCGTGGCCCCCGCCGCCCCGGCCCCCCCCTCAGCCTATGACGCAACGCTCCCCCCCGCAGTGCGCTCCGGGCACTGCCGCCGTGCGCGCACAGGTGCCCGCATGGGAATCCCATAGGAGTCTGGTCCACAGTCGTCGTCGCTCGTCGTCGTCGTCGTCGTCGTCGTCGCTCGTCGTCGTCGTCGTCGCTCGTCGTCGTCGTTGTCGCTCGTCGCTCGTCGCTTGTCGCTCGTCGCTCGCCGCTCATTGTCGTCGTGCGCGCGGGCGTGGCTGGTGCCTGTTTTGTTTTTATTCCAGGCCGATGACGCCAATCATCTGGGGGGGGTGGAGGGGGCCGATGACGTCACGTTTCGCGCCGTCGCCGTCTTGGAATGCCTAGGACTGACCGAGGACGGGACAGCGTGCGCAACACAGCACCAGTGTACACCACAATGCCTGCGTGCACTACATCGCCTGTGTACACCACGGCGCCTGTGTGCACCACAGCAACCGTGTGCAACAGAGCACCGCTGTTGCATATGGAATGTTCAAAGGAATCCTTATGACAAAATCGAGCGCCTGTGGATTCCACAGAAAACAATAGTTTTCATATAGGATTTGGAAAGGAATCCTTATGGAAAAAGTAAACCCGCTGGAATCTACGAGTCCAGTCAAGTCCGCCCGCATCATCCTAACTCTTCCCATCTGCGTCCAGGAGGATGCAGCTAAATTGACCGTCCGAGAACCAAGTGGACTGATTCCATCGACCGTTCTGCGGTGCACGACGAGATGCGCATGTGCGCTGTAGCGCCGACCGGCACGACAGGGGGGAAGGGTGAGGGAGGAGGAGGAGGAGGAGGAGGAGGAGGAGGAGGAGGAGGAGAAGGAGGGGGGGAGGAGGAGGAGGAGGAGGAGGAGGAGGAGGAGGTGGAGGAGGATGGAGGAGAAAAAACGTCGAATCTTACTACAGTTCCTTGGTGTGGCGTTTAGCTGTCTGCAGCAGATCCTCATTTACATGATCCTTGTAGTTGTCCTGTGCACGAAGGCTCTGTGGTGTAGACCACTGCTGCGTTGCACGCGGATGCGGTGATGCACACAGGCGCTGTGTTGTTGCTGCGGTGTACACTTGCGCTGTGGTGTACACCGGCGCTGTAGTGCACGCAAGCAATGTGGTGTACACGGGCGCTGCGTTGCACATGGCTGTTGCGGTGTACGCGGGCGCTGTGGTGTACACACGCGTTGTGGTGCACGCGAGCATTGTGGTGTACACAGGCGCTGTGTTGCAGATCGCCACTTACATGATGCTCGCGTCGTCGTCGTCGTTGTCGTCGCTCGTCGCTCGTCGCTCATCGTCGTCGTGCGCGCGGGCGCGGCTGTGGTGCCTGAGCTACACGGCAGGGGAGGGGGTTTTACGTCATACCCCCCCCCGCCCCCCCCCCCAAGACGCCCGTCATCGCCGAAAATACAGAAACGCCCTCTTGTGCGCGCCGCGGCCGCCCACCTGGTCGCCCACGTCGCCTCCCGTCCCCTCGCTGCGCTTGCGTGTGGCTCTGGCGCGAAGCCCCGGGGCTTTTCTTTTCCATGTCCGCGCCCTCCTCTGCTCTGCTCATGCCCCTCCTGTTTCACGCACGCCCTCGGCGGCACGCTCTCCGCGCGGCAGCAGATGTCGGCCAGCTCTCCGGCCGAGGGCGGATGCACGGCAGCTTCTGCTTGGTGGAGCGCCCTTTCCCCTAAGTCGGGCATGTCCCTGTACAGGAGGAATATTCGAAAATGGTCCAAAAATAGTCCAGGGACGATTTTTTGAATGTTTTTTTGGACCATTTTGGAGTTTCTTTTGGACTGCTTTGTGATTTTCGTCCGAGAGCCCCCTGTAGCAGGACATGCCCGACCTAACCCTTCCTCATCAGCTGGGAAGCCGGCAATTCTCATCGCTCTCTGCTGCTGAAGCTCTGGCTGGGCATTCCGGCGAGGAAGCGCCCTAAACCACATACGCCCACAGGGCCTGTGGGATTTCGGCTGGCTCTCCGGCCGATGGTGGATGTACAGCAGCTTCTGCGTGGTGGAGCCCTCTCTACTGCGGAAGCTCTGGCTGTGGACATGTCAGGCGGGCGGCAACCTCGCAGGGGCATGTCGGGCTGGCCTCGCGCGGCCGCGGGGGAAGGAGCAGGTCTGCCCTCTCGTCTTCGGGTCCCTCCGGGGGGGGGCGGCGCGAGAGCGCGAGGATGGCTTGGCGCAGGTCGGGCATGTCCCTCCACGGGAGGAATCTTCAAGCATAGTAGAAAGATAGTCGGGGGACTTTTTTTTTGTTCTATGATCGAGCATTTGCGAATCTGTTTGACCAAGTTTACTTTCCTTCCAAAATCATCCTGTAGGGGGACATGCCCGACCTAAGACTTGGCGCTTCGCGCAGCGAATGGGCCGCGGAGTCGGGCGTGGCAGGTGTGCCACGCCGCCCCGTGCCTGGAAGAGCTCTCTCCGCCCTCGCTCGGGCGTCTCGTGATGGTCGGGGGCCGCGTTCGGGGGCCCCCCTTAAGACAGTGCGGGCCACAACGTGCGGTGAGTCAGAGGGGGTTCGGGGTCGCCGCACGGTTCTGGGACTCGGGCCTCTCTCCGAGGGTGCCTCGGGCGATTGGGGCGTCTGAGGTTCCCAAGCCGTGCGGTGACGGATCGCGCGCCGAGGTCTCCTGGGATTTCGAGTCACCGCGCGGTCTGTCACCGCACGTCTTTCGGACCCCTACGGCGTCAGGGGGGGCAGCCTCGATGGGGGGGATGACCAGCTATGCACCGATCTTGGCCTGGGCCCGGGATGGGCCAGGCCAGGACCCCTGCAGAAGGCTCGGAGCGGGTTGTCTCAAGGTTGGGTGCCGTGTGCCGTGGCGGCCGACGGACCGAGGTACACAGGGCATCTTCTGGATGCGCCGAGCGTGCTGCAGGAGCCTGGCGGTCCGTGCGCCCCTCGCGCAAGCTGCTCCAACGTCCCCAATTCTCACCACCCACCAAACCACCCCAAGCCAACCCGAAGGCCTCAATTTGCCCTCCATTTCCAGTGGCGGGGGGGTCGGGGAACTTTGAAAAACACATGGAACCCGTACCCCCCCCCAACCCGAAATTGGGGTCTTCGGGTTGGGTTGGGGTGGTCTGGTAGGTAGTCCAATTCGGTGACCTTTGCGCCCCTCTGTGACAGAAAAGGGGGCCATTCGGGAGCCCATGACGGGCCCCTCTGTGACAGAAGGGCTCGTTGTCCCAGTCTGCGCCGTCCTCGTGCACCTTTCGCGCTCAGCACCTTTTCGCGCCAGATCGAAGACGCCATACGGCCAGTCACCGCCGGCCCCGGCCTGTTGGGCAACGCCTATGTGCCTAGCCGTTGGTGAGACTTTAGGCAAGCGCTTGTATTGCGTGCCCCCCTGGCCGTCGCAGAAGCCACGGGGGGAACATGGGACGACCTCCGGGGGCCGCAGGGAGCTTCACCGACAGCCCCGGTGGCTGGCTTCACATTTGTGGCGACGCCGATTTCGGCACACCTTCCACGAGGATCGTATCAACCAGAGATAGCTCCACCAATGGCCGCAGCGGCAGGGTTCGCATGCGTGACGCCGCCCATGTCGGCACACCCTCACGAGCATCATGGCCCCATAGGTAGGGAGCTCCAAAGTAGGCCCTGGTGACAGGGTTCGCATGCGTGACAGCGCCCATTTCGGCACACACCCCACGAGGATCGTGGCCCCATAGTTGGCTCCACAGCAGGCTCCAGTGGCATGGGTGCGCATGCGTGACGGCGCCGGCACACTCCTCACGAGCACCGCAGCTTCCATTGGGAGCCCCACCGCAGGCAACAGTGGAAGGGTTCGCATGCGTGGCGGCTCCCGTCTCGGCGTCTCGGCACATCCCTCGAGGATCGTGGCCTCATAGGGAGCCCCACCGCAGGCCCCAGCGCTAGAGTTCGCATGCGTGACGGCGTCCACTTCGGCACACCCTTCACGAGACGAGGATCGTGGCCGGAGCTTCACCAATGGCCGCAGCGGCAGGGTTCGCACGCTTGACGGCGCCCACTTCGGCACCACTGACGAGGATCGTAGCTCCCAATTGCAGCTCCACCGCAGGCCCAAGTGGCAGAGTTCGCATGCGTGTCGACGTCCATTTCGGCACAGCCTTAACGAGGATCGTGGACCTAGAGGAGCTCCACCGAAGGCGGCATTGGCAGGGTTCGCAAGCGTGACGGCGCCCATTTCGGCACACCCTACACGAGGATCGTGGCCGCATAGGGAGCTCCACCGCAGGCCCCAGTGGAAGGGTTCGCATGCGTGGCGGCGCCCGCGTCGGCACATTCCTCACGAGGATCGAGCCCACATCGGGAGCTCCACAGCAGGCCCCAGTGGTAGGGTTCGCACGCGTGATGGCGCCCATATCGGCAGACCATTCACGAGGATCGTAGCCCCCAGCGGGAGCTCCACCGAAGGGCCCAGTGGCAGGGTTTGCATGCATGACGTTGCGTTGTTCCATGGGGAGCTCCACCGAATGCTCCAGTGGCAGGATCGTGGTCCCAAAGAGAGCTCCCCCGAAGGCGCCAGTGGCAGGGGTCGCATGCTGAGTCCCCAAAATCTTGCGCACCCCTCGCCCGTGCGTGGCCCAAAACCGTAACGGGGTGCCCCAAGAGGGCCCCAACAGGCGCCCGGGGAGCTCTTGATAGTAACGCGCCAGCAGCGGCACTCGCCCGTGGCGCCAAGCCAGTCCCAAGAGGCCCACATGGCTATTCCTAGAGTCGCCCAAGGGCTCCCCCCGGCAACTTACCAGAAGGCTCCTAATAGCGTCCCCGAGAAGCCCCAAGGAGGCCAAAGCCCCGCCCCCCCCAAGTAGCCCCCCAGAACTCTCCGTTTCGCATTCGAGAATCGCCCCTGCATTCCTCATTGGCACATTGGCAATTTGCGGTGCGCGTTCCTCGGGCGCGGCTAGAACCTAAGCGCGTGCGAAGCGTGCGCGGGTGGTTCTAGCCAGCGACCGGGTCCTTGGGCCAGGGGGCGACCCATTTCCCCGCCCTGGCGTCAAAAGCTTAGTCCCGGGAGCCAGCGGCCCTTTTTGAGTGGTCTTGGGGTTTCTCTGGGCCTCGACAGCCTTCCTCGGCGACCCCACATGACGCTCAGAGGCCACGAAGACGGTTCCAAGACGGTCCAAGATGATCGTGAACGGGCCCAATAGGCCCCCAAGGCGGCCGAAGACCGCCCGAAGAGAGCTCCGAGAGGCCTTCCAGGAAGCCTCCGAGAGACCTAAATTGGTGAAGAACGATAGGTTTTCATGCAATTTCAACTTTCTTACCAAACGTCAAAGACGGCTGATGTGGCCCCCAATGTTGCTGTTCAGGCGATTCAGGAAGCCCCCAAGAGGGCCCCAAGACGGCGCAGAACCACTTCAAGAGGGCCCAAGAGGCGCCCAAGACGAGTCCGTAGCCATTTTGGCTCAAGACATTTTGGTCCCACGGCCCGTGTCAGTTCTCCATGGGAGCAATGACATTTTCCGCCGCGTTAGTGTGTTTGGTCTATGTGCGGATTGATCTATGGGCAATGGGTGAATCAAGGTCTAACTCAACGGAAAGGGGTGCAAGACTGTGGCTTCATGTGGGCCCCCCACAAAATTGCTTCGACAACAATTCAGACACAGCTTAAAGCTTGGCAGACCTATCTAACAAGTGACGGCTGGACGTGGAAAGACCCTGCGCAATTCGGACACTCGTCGGCACGTGGACACATGACTCAAATCGCGAATGTTGCAGAGTGTTATATGTCCCCGTTCAAGTACAAGGCTCAAGGGCTCAAGGGCTCAAGCGATTACATTTTCGAACGCGGTACCTGGTTCGCCCCAGGGCTCCGCCTGCCTCCTGCGGCCCGCAGGTGAGCAGTACTTTCACCGCACTTGCGCAGCCCTCCTAACGACCATGGCCTCGAGTGCTTCTCATCCAGGGGGCGCCCTTCGCGCGCGCACACGCGCACCGGGCACGCCAGTGGGAGTCGGCAGGGAAAGTATTCTACGCAGACGCTTGTTCAGTCCTTTGAACGAGAAGGACGGCCACGACGGCCCCGAGGTGCACGCATTTTCAACTCCTACTCCTACGATTTCACCGGAAGCTCTCCCACCACGTGAAGCCGTGCAGCAGGAGCAACAAGGACAGCATCCACATCCGCCTACTTTGGACCAGATCGCCAAGATGTTCCGCAAGGAGGTGCAGCCACTCCGCATTACGATCAGCAATCTCGAGCGGCGCCTCACTGACATGAGCGGGGTCATCGAAACCAGATTCGAGGAGGCGGAGGAGCACATCGAAGACATCGCCATTCGTCTCACAAACCTCGAGAACCACCAGATCGCCGAGTTTGAGAATATCACCGCTCGGGTTGCCGCTCTTGAATGAAATCCACATCGTGCTGATGCTGATTCCGCTGGAGCCGGTTCTGCACGCAGCTTGAGTTCCACAGTTGAGGAGGAATTCATCGAGCTCGAACGCCACATGGCGGGACTCAACACAGGCAAGCAGGTCGAATGCAACGCAGTCGTTGGGGGTCTGGGCAAAGTCGATACTTTGCAGCACGCTGCCACATGGATAACCTCATGCCCGTGAGAATAAACACTAGGGGATAATAAAGTTCGGGGTTCAGGGAGAGATAATAAAAGTAGCCCAGCAGACCTCAGCATAATCTCGAAGTAAGAGATGATCAAGAGGAGACCAAGCCGAACACGTTTTGGTTTCGCTTGACACATCCTGAAAAAGTGTGATCGCTTCGCTTGATGCTGCTATATCAACATCGCTTGATGTTGCTATCTCAACATAGCGTTTCGAGGTGATAATGCAGTTCGGCCTCAGCGCTCGCCGCCCAATTTGTATTTTGTATAGGGCGACGATAATCAACTCTAAACACTGAAGGGGGGGTCCCTTTATTATCATCGGCATGCGGTTAAACGAGCGTGCTCTTCAGCTCGGAGCCCCTGAACCGGCCGACATCTTCATCAAAGGCGAGTCGTTCCAACAGACTGCTTTCGCAAAGCTCGATTCCATGAGCGCCCGGGACAGATGCGTGAGCATTTTGGGGAGGGCGCAGCTGAAACATCGAGAGAATACGATCTGGACGTCCGGATCAGCCATTGGAAAAGAGGGTGCCTGAGAGTTTCTTGTTCGGACTCCGGAAGACATCTTTGGGTTGGGGTTATTCCAAGAGCGAGGTGCGCGTAGAGACGGTGGAACAAAAACTTAAAGTGGCTAAAGAACCAGTTTCTCATGCACATGTGGCCGGGACGGTTCTCCAAGTGGACTGGAATGGACCTCGGGCAGCCCGGGGCGACCTCACCAACAGACAGGACGTAGATGACCTGAAAGACCGCGCCAACGGGGTTCTCCAGAGGGCTGCAGCAAAAGGCAATGGCAAGGGCAAAAAGGGGAGCCACTCGGATCCACGACGGCGCACTGGCAGCAGTTGCACAACGATCGGGACACTGGTAATCTTCCCATGCCGGCCAATGGATTGCGGCCGCATTGCCTCCTGGAGCGTCGAAGGCCTTAACCTGGAGGAGCCGTCTCCTGGGGCCTCTTGGGGCCTCCTGGAGCCTTCTGGGCCTTCCGGGACCTACTGGGGCCTCCTCGGGCATTCCTCCTCCTCCTTTTCCTCCTCGTCCTTCCTCCCCTCAGCCTCTTCCTCTTCCTGCTTTCCTGTCTCGTCCTGCATCATCCCTCCTCCTTTTCCTGGCAATCCTCCTCCTCCTCGTCCTCGTGCGGAACACGACCCAGAGGAAACGCACGACGTGCGTCCCAGCCGATGCGCGCCGGAGGACGACCCAGAGGAAGCGCGCGCCGGAGGATGACCCGGAAGAACCACGTGAGCTGCGGGACCCACAGGAAGGCTCCCGCCTGACGCGTCCTCACAATTCACTCACAGACGAGGGTCCCGCTTGATACTTCTTCCAAATTCAGACCTGAGGAGCCCAAAAGTGACGACAGTTACAGGAATCCGATGACCCGCTCGGATTAGTAACATGATCTGCGGGCCCCATAGGGAGGGGGCTCCCGCCTGAGACTTGCTCGCAATTCACTGACAAACGAAGCTCCCGCCTGATACGTCCTCCAAATTCAGACCTGAGGAGCCCAAAAAAGTGACGACAGTTACAGGAAACCGACGACCCGCTTGGATTAGTAACGTGATCTGCGGGCCCCATTGGGAGGGGGCTCCCGCTTGAGACTTCCTCGCAATTCACTCACAGACGAGGGTCCCGCTTGATACGTCCGCCAAATTCAGACCTGAGGAGCCCAAAAGTGACGACAGTTACAGGAATCCGATGACCCGCTCGGATTAGTAACATGATCTGCGGGCCCCATACGGAGGGGGTTCCCGCCTGAGACTTCCTCACAATTCACTCACAGACGAGGCTCCCGCTTGATAACTTCTCCAAATTCAGACCTGAGGAGCCCAAAAGTGACGACAGTTACCGGAATCCGATGACCCGTTCGGATTAGTAACATGATCTGCGGGCCCTATAGGGAGGGGGTTCCCGCCTGAGACCTGCTCGCAATTCACTGACAAACGAAGTTCCCGCCTGATACTTCCTCCAAATTCAGACCTGAGGAGCCCAAAAGTGACGACAGCTACAGGAATCCGATGACCCGCTCGGATTAGTAACATGATCTGCAGGCCCCATAGGGAGGGGGCTCCCGCCTGACGCGTCCTCACAGTTCACTCACAGACGAGGTTCCCGCTTGATACTTCTTTCAAATTCAGACCTGAGGGGTCCAAAAGTGACGACTGTTACAGGAATCCGATGACCCGCTCGGATTAGTAACATGATTCGCGGGCCCCATAGGGAGGGGGCTCCCGCTTGAGACTTCGTCTCAATTCACTCACAGACGAGGTTCCCGCTTGATACTTCCTCCAAATTCAGACCTGAGGAGCCCAAAAAAGTGACGACAGTTACAGGAAACCGACGACCCGCTTGGATTAGTAACGTGATCTGCGGGCCCCATAGGGAGGGGGCTCCCGCCTGAGACTTCCTCACAATTCACTCACAGACGAGGGTCCCGCTTGATACGTCCGCCAAATTCAGACCTGAGGAGCCCAAAAGTGACGACAGTTACAGGAATCCGATGACCCGCTCGGATTAGTAACATGATATGCGGGCCCCATAGGGAGGGGGTTCCCGCCTGAGACTTCCTCACAATTCACTCACAGACGAGGCTCCATCTTGGTGGATGATGGTGATGGGATGATGACGACGGTGTTTGATGATGATATATGATTGTTGTTGATGATGATGATGATGATGATGATGATGATGATGCTGATGATGATGATGGTGGTGGTGGTGATGATGACGACGTGATGATGATGATGGTGGCGATGATGAGTGCTGATGGTGAGTGATCGTGCGATTATGAAGGTAAATGGTGGTGATGATGATGGGGACGAAGTGGTGAGTCAGCGAGTAGTGATGATGATGCTGATGCTGATGATGATGATGATGATGATGATGATGATGATGATGATGATGATGATGATCGTTCGATGCCGATGATGGTGAGTGATCGTGCGATGGTGGTGGTGATGCTGATGGTGATGATGATGATGATGATGAGTGGGGAGTGATGGTGATGGTGATGATGATGCGGAGGAGGAAGCAAAGAGGAGCAGAGGAGAGGGAGGAGGACGAGAGATCCTGCGCGGAGGGTGTGCAGAGAAAACAAGAACCCCACTTAGGATGTGGGGAAAAAGGAGACACATCAGAACCATGCAACTACATACCGATATCGTGATTGGCGGTCGGCTACAAAGTACTTGCCAGCGTCATTTTACAGCGTTTCAAAAATGGTGGGGCTGAAGACGCACTCCGCGAATCACAGTGTGGCTTCAGGCCGGGAAGGGGGACAAGTGAGGCATTGTTCTTGGCCCGAAAGCTCATTGATGCAGCTCTGGAGGACAAGAATGGGAAATTGTTGCTTTTACTGTTGGACTGGAGCAGGGCTTTCGACACTATCGAGCCAGATGGACTACTCGTCGCTCTTCGGCAATTTGGCGCGTCTCCGGCTATGCTCGACATGATCGCTGCCATCTACCAGGTGCGGAAGTTCGTGGTCAAAGCAGGTCCACACAGATCTCCCCAACGATCTCAAGATGCTGGAATTGCCCGAAGGTGCCCTCTGTCTCCATACCTCTTCATCATTGTGGTGTCTGTGCTGTTGGGCGCAGTCGACACCGAGCTCGCGAAGCACCCCCCCGACTACCCAGACACGCCGTGCATCGTCGCAAAAGACATGCTCTACGCGGACGATAAAATGTTGGTCTCTCAGGACACGGAGTCGCTGCAACATCATTTCCACATTATCGCGCCTTTTCGGGCACAATTTGGTTTAGACCTGAACGCCGGGAAACAATATTATTGAGAGTACGATCGGAGGATACTGCGGTGGGCCCAAATGGAGAAGCAATCAAATGTGAAGATCATGCGGCCAAGGAGGCACACCAACAGACACCAAGTAGGCTTTCAAGATGCCCCGACAAACTCCCCCAGAATATCCAGGGACGCCCCACGGGAACCTCACAAAAACGACCTACCATGCTTTTGGGGATGTCCCCAGATCTTCCCAGTGGCTCAGATGAGACTTCAAGACGGCGGCCCAAGAAACAGCTTGGGTAGCTCAAGACACTGTCGCGGCGTCCGCGAAAGGTGCCCCCAAAGGGCGCCGTTTTTGCATAGCGTCGTTTAGAATTTGTCGGTTGTGCCCGCGTCGTCGGGCCGTCTGTGTTGGATCCGCAGCCTTGCCTGTTCTTCAGCTAATGTTCAAGGCAACCAGCCTTGGAACGACACGAAGCGAGCAACTACCGAATCTATGCGCGCTGTTCAATGCAGTTCTCCTGCAACTCCGCTCGAATCGTAGCCCAGTGCGTTCCTGGAGGAGGAGGAGGAGGAGGAGGAGGAGGAGGAGGAGGAAGAGGAGGAGGAGGAGTGAGGAGGGGACAACCACGTAACATCTGGGGAAACCTCGAAACATTTTCAATGTTGATGCCGTCGACAACGACGACGGCGACGACGGCTACGGCGACGGCGGCGACAGCGGCCATTGCAGTGACAACGAGGGCGGCGAGAGCGCATTAAATGGTTCGCACCATGTAGGAGGCAACACTACACTTGTGAACTTGCCAAGACGTTGCGAACAGTTATGAACAACATGTGTACATGCACGCGACAGTGAATTTGCCAAGGGCCGGTGTTTACTAGAACCTGAGCGCGCGCGAAGCGCGCGCGTGGTTCTAGTGTATATATATACACATATATATATACACCAACAAGGCTGCATTAACGCTTCGCGCCATACATCTCGATTCTTGAAATTGGCATGCAGGCGGAAGGGCAGGAAGGTGTACCAGACCATTTTGCGATAACGACTTTTTGTTGTTCCGACATGTTTCGCGATAGCGCAATGTTTTTCATCATGTTGCCCTCATGCTTCCTCTTCCTCTTCGTCCTCCTCGCCCTACCCTGCAAAGTTTTCCCCATCCGCTTCAGCTCGTCTTGCGAAGGCTCCTCCTTGGAGAGTTTTGGGGGCCTCACGACAGTTTTTAAAGGCTTCTTGGGGCCTTCTGGAGGCCTCGTGGTCACCTCCTGGATGCGTTTTGAGGCTTCCTCGTGCCACCCTGCTTCCAACCGTGGTCTCCCTGAACGGCCGGGTCACGATTTGGAAAGTTCGGGGAGCGTCTTGTGGCAATCTGAGGCCGTTATTGGGCTGTCTTCGGGTCATCTTCAAACCTGGTTTCGCCGTCTTGGCGATCTCCGGGACTGCCTGGAAGCCCTTTCGGGTAGTTCTGGGACGATTTCGGGCCTCCTGGGCGGTGTCAGGAGGGCCGAGGGCGTGAGCTAAACGGTGTTTTGTCGGCAATTTCGTGGACCATTTTTGTTTCAATTTCGTTTTGCAGAAAGGCTGAGCGAAGGCAGAACGAGAGAAAACGAACACAGAGCGAGCAACGGGAAACAGTGTTCAGCTCGCGCCTTGACAGGCGCACCTTTCTTCACCCCTTCCATATTTGGGGGAAACCAAGAGGTGCCGATACAGCTGCTCCCCAGACCTCTCCCGGGGTGCCTTCTGACTCGAATTTCGAGGCGAATCCAGCGTTGCCCTGAACGTTCAGGCATTCAGCTTCTCCCGCCCCCATGCTCACAACCTCCACCTTCTCCTCCACACCCTCCAAGGAAATCTGTGGAGGTCGCATGTACGATTAGCCCTGAACGTTCAGTCATCCAGCCCCTCCCGCTCCCATGCTGGCAACTTCACCTCTCTTCCACATCCTCCCAGGACATCTCGTGAGGTCCCTGGGGATCGTTCCTCCGCTTTCTTCTCCTCCACCTCCTCAAACTCTCCTCCTCCTCCTTCTTTCCCTCCTCCTCCCCCTCCTTCTTTCCCTCCTCCTCGACCTCCTCCTCCTCTTTCTCACCCTCCTCCTCACCCTCCTCCTCAACCTCCTCCTCCTGATCCTCCTCCTCCTCACCCTCCTCCTCAACCTCCTCCTCCTGATCCTCCTCCTCCTCCTCCTCCTCCTCCTCCTCCTCCTCCTCCTCCTCCGTCCTCCTCTCCCTGCTCATCCTCGCCCTCGTCCCCAGGGGCCTCCCAGGGGGGGTGGGGGGCGACTTGGCGACCTCTGCGAGGGCGTCTCGAGCGGGGGAGCCCCCGGCGGGGACGCGCGCGGGCCGACTTTTGGAGCAAGGACGCCTCGAGCGAGCGCCCCAGCCTGGGGCGCCCGGTGGGGCGCCCCCCCCCCGGCAGCTGCCGGCAGACGGTCCTGGACGCGCGGTGTGGTCCCAGACTCGGGGGCGGCCAAGAGGGGAGTGATGATTAGGGTCAAGTCAGAGCCCCGAATCATCAGGGGTAACTCGGGTCAGGGCTATCTCGGGTTCGTTTTTCGGGAACCCAAACCCGAGTTACCCCGGACCCGAGTTACCCCGGATAACTCGGGCGTCCAATCAAGTCGGGCCTGCCCCCCTACAGGGGGATTTTCGACGAAAAAAATAGATTCCCAAAATAGTTAAAAGATAGTCCAAAAATAGTCTGGAGACTATATTTTGAGTATTTGTTGACCTTTTTGGGGGTATTTTAGGGGTGTATTTTTTGGTGGTTCGTCGAAAATCCCTGTAGGGGGACACGCCCGACATAAGACTAGGGGGGTGTAGATACCATGGCGGGGGCCATGAGATCTCCCCAGATTTCACGGCGCCTCTTCTTGGTTCAATGCGTCCCTGGCCTTCCCCCCCCGGGCCGCTCACATGCCGCGGGCCACGATTTGCACCCCCCCCCCTCTTGGACGCCCCCCTCTTGGACGCCCCCGACAGACCCCCGACGTCATACATTTTTCATGACGTGGATCCCCAGCGGTCTGGACCCATTCCCCGTGGAACGAAGACTGACATAAACCTGCAAACTCGGAGGTCTGCGCGGATTGCTCAGATCCGCGCTGGACCCCCCTCCCTGGCGCGCGCAGCGCGCCAGGCGGCGCCGGAGGCGCCGCCAGGAGGGTCCAGCGCGGATCCGAGAAATCCGCGCGGACCTCCGAGTTTTTATGTTTATGCCATTATTCTTTCCCCTCGCTCCCCGGGACCGGTTTTTCGTCCTGCGAGTCGTTTTTGTTGACGGTCTCGAGGGCCGGTATAAGGGCCCCCAGGGGTTGAACACGGGCGAAAAGCTCCCCGCCGTGATTTTTGCTACGGCCCGAGGGGGTCTGGGGTGTGCTTTTCTCGCGCGCGGGGGGGGGGGAATGGCAGGGCTGGACCTAAACGCCGTTTCGCCGGATTTCGTCTATGTTTTGCTTTTCGTTTTGGGAGGGGGGTGCAGGAAGAAAGGTAGTGCAAAACGAACAACAAGACGAAACCAACACGAAAAACGACGCTCAGGTCCGGCCCTGGGGGACGGATCGTCTCTCTCGACATCGGGCGAGGGCCCCAGGGACGCGGGCCCCCCGCAGCGCGCCCCCCGCGCGCGCGCGAGGGCATGGCTCGTTTTCGGAGGTGGGCCTGTGGGGCCCGACTCCCTCTCGCGTGCCGGGACTCGGCTGTGGCCAGGAGGAGAGGCACGAGCGCGCAGACACGAGTGGCCATCGACCCCCAGGACAAGATGGGAGAGTCTGGGAGCGATGGAGAATCTGGGGGGGAGGGCGAAAGGGCAGAAGATGTGGGGAAGTAGGGGGAACCCTGGGCTCTGTGCCTGTCTTGGTGTGTGTGTGTGTGTGTGTGTGTGTCAGGGCCTCTTTATCTGGGAGGCCTCGAGCGAAAGCCCCAGACTGGGACCCTGCGCTCGTCTGAGGGCCTCCTTGGGGATTCGGGTGGCCGGTTTTCTGAGGATGTCCCACACGGGGCTGCCAGTTCGGAATGCGTCGCCAGATGTCCTGGGTTTCCCGGAAGCGGAGAATGGGCCTCTGAGGGCCTGCTTGGGGAGGCTCGGGGAGCCAGTTTTCTGAGGATGTCCCACGGGAGGGCGCCGGTTTGAAACGCGTCGCCGGATTTCCCGGATTTCCAGGAAACAGAGCAAGGGGGTCTCTGAGGGCCTCCTTGAGGAGGCTCGGAGGGCCAGTTTTCTGAGGATGTCCCGCGCTAGGGCGCCGGCTTGGAATTCGTCGCCGGATTTCCTGGATTTCCTGGAAACGTAACAGGGGGCTGGTTGGCGGGCCCATTTCTTCGCGCGCCTGGGAGTCAGGATTGCGTGAGTTCTCAAGACAAGCTCTCTCAAATGATCATGCACTGTACATGCGCGGAAACCGCGCAACTGCAGTCGCGAGGAGCCTCACGTGCATAACAGTGCAGCCGTGGGCTGAGAATTTTGTAAGGCTCGGAGGCCTAGAGGTTGACACCAACACCAGTACTGGCGGTGTGCTTCCACCGAGGGAAAATGATCCGATCTCGGCGATGGCGGTAATACTCGGGCTTCCTAGGTGGCCGAAAGATTACCACCAACACCAAAATCCAGGATCATCTTCCCCCTGTGGAGGCAGCCCCTGGTGTTGGTGTTGGTGCCCAGTTCCAAGCTTCAAGAAGGCCTGTTTTGCTGGGCCGCCGTTCTGGTACGGTCGGACCAGGGCATAAGATCGAGATCGGTTCGGGGAGAGTGCCCTGATGTTGTTCATGCTTGTTGGATGTTCTTGTGTATCCGGGGGGACGGTGCCCTCGAATGTCCTTCAGTTCGGGCAGGCGGAGGGCCTCGTGCTCTTGAGGGATGTTCATCTGTCCTAGGTCCGACTGTATGCGTGGGGTGGAAGCCAGCGAAAGG